CACTATGCCACTTTTGGCCTCTAAACGTTGAAAGCAATTTGATATCAGTGCCTGGGTTGCTTGGACAGTGCTGTGTTTGGGCCTAAAGCCAAACTGACTACTTGCTAAAAGGTTACTGTCCTCAAGATACTGAGAAAATCTACGATGTACGAGATGTTCCAAGACCTTCGACACTGCAGGGATAATAGATATAGGCCTAATAACATTTTTAGGCCCCTTTTTATGGACTGGTATAACCTTAGAAATCTCGAACTTGTTTGGGTAGCAACCTTGTGTTATCCAGAGATTAAATAGGTATGTCAAAACTTCACTTATGTAACTAGAAGCTAACTTCAAGATGGGGACATTAATTCCGTAAATATCTAAACAAGAGCTATTGTTGAGACTGTTGATGGCTGCATACACCTCTTCTACAGTAAATAGTTCAAGCCTAAAAGCATCGTTGTCATCAGTAGTCGGAAGAACGTTGCAAGATGTCAAATTACTTAGATATTGCTCAGGACCATTAGAAGAGGCGGGAACATTACTTCTCAGGTTTTCAACACAGTCGACAAAGTAAGAGTTCAGTCCATCGGCAGTTAGGCAGTCAGGAATAGACAAAGGCTTACTATTACAGTTGCTTGATTCATTAATGATTGACCAGGATGTTTTAGAAATATTACTAGAGTTTTGCAATAAACTGCTGTTATGGTCGAGTTTGGCTTTCTTGATTTCTTTGCGGTACCGCAACTTTAATGAGTTGTACTTAGTTTTAATTTCAGCAGTCCCTGCATGTATTGTATTATATACATGTATGTATTATAATTAATCTAAACGTCAAAAAATAAACTTACTACTGACATTGTAAAAAATACACATGTGTACAGAAAATTCTAGCATAGTATTTACGATAACATGATAGGCTATATTCTTATTATAACGAAGCTTCTTTTGTAAAGGTTAGGTTAGTTATTGTTGTATTTATTGGTACAGACACTAAAACGTGTATTAAATAAAGTATTGGATAAAGTAAGACAGAGGACGGAATAAACAGATGACTAAGGGGCTAGCGAAGCGTTCAGCCGTGAAAGACCGATTTTTGACCGTGAGTGCAGTTCCATATGGCTTAGGCGGGCTACCCTTCCAACCCTTGTAAATTCCTTTGACCGTGAGTGCAGTTCGTTGTCAGCCCTAAGTTGCATTTTTAGTAAATGACATTCATACCCAACTTATATTCATCATGAAGAATATTTGGTTTCGTAAAATATATTATCACTAACGAAAATAATTATCCCTGAAAATAAAATATGCTCATGCTATTACATTGTCTTTATCCTAAACGTAATGTTTGATGGACGCAATTTTTTTTATTCTGCCTTTAGTGAACGAGATACACTTAATGTTACTACGTGGCACTGTTATATGATTAAACCTTGGTCCAAGAGAGTGACCTAAACCAGATAGGATTACTGTGGTCGTCCCTTTGGGTGTGTATTACCACATACCCTCTAAACTGTGAATTAACGAAGGATTAAATTAAGTGAATACATTCTTCCCTGTTGTGCCTAAATGTTACCATCTCATACCAAATATCAAAGTTTACGTCTTTTGCTAGCCATATTTACTTCATTAAATATAGGCTGGTTATCAATTAATAGAATTTCCTCAAGGTTTCCAACTCACAGATCTTGCGATGTTAATTTATTTTATATATTTTTTTTTCATTTTATGTATTTTTAAATAATAATTACTAGCCTATATTGTAATGCCTGATTAAAATCCATATTTAATGATGATGATTATTATTATTATTATTTCCAAATTTAGTTTATAAATACAATTTTGCATCGGTAACAAAACACAAAACTCAACAAAATATTATACCTACCATACTCTTTAGTGTTTAAACCAGCATCATAATGGCCTCTCATTTCACACAACATCAAAATAATTTGATCTATAAGTTGATGATCCATCATGTATCGCTAATAAACCCTGTCCATTTGCTATGGTCCTTTTATTTTCAACTTCTGTGTTTTAAGATGTTTTGAATTGTAATTGTTTTAAACCTCCCCGGCAAATATTAAGAAAAACGTATTATTAAACAAAAAAATATTAATGATGGTAAGAGCATTTAAAATTTTAATAGACATATTTTATATTAAAGGTTAAACACTTTTTAATTGATTAGTTTACGTTTGAAATGTAAACGATCTGTTATGTTCCCTTGTATACAAGAGTTTGATGAGTACCTAATTAATAATAGTAAACCCAAATGTGGTCTCAAATCTATACCTAATATTCCCAAATATACGTAGGCCTACCTATAAAAGTAAAACGTTTGTACGACATATACCTGACTACCAAATTTATAAAGTATAATTTTAAATTTATCATGATAAACTTTTGTAATGATGTTAACGTATACACAGCTTGTCATTCTAAAACAAATGTTATCAATAGAAGGCAACGTAATTCATCTAAATATTACGTTTTTAACATTAGTACATTTTAAATCTCTTTAACAAATATCCGTTGTCTACTATAATGCTTTTGTAAAATTTAATTCGCCAATTTATGGATAAAAAACATGATACTTTCTAATACAACACCTGTTGCACGCCAAAGTTTAAATTTGGATTCCACATGTTCGAAATTGTTACTACGTTTAATCCGATTGAAACACGAATAGAACTAAGCCAGTGCCTGTAATGAATATTGGGGAAGGGAAATATGGTTGAGGGGCCGCAATAAGGAGCAAAGTTAGGATGGTACTTGGGACTTAAAGTAATCAGAACTTTTAAAAGTTTGACTAAGACCTTTTCAAACTTCTTTGTATTGGATTATAAGTTTCGTCTGTTATACGTCTTCCAAGGTTTTCTGCAGCGTAAAACTAATTTAAAGTTTTCTTTTAAAATTTAAAATTGAATGACATTACTGATATTAACGTGCACATAGCTTGCGGGCTCGTGATCGCTGGTCTCGGCCGATTAGTTGTTTTGGGGATTTTAATAATTTATCACAATGTGTGGACCAATTGTTCATCATTGCATAAGATTATATTCATGTCTTGACAAATTGAGAAATTATAGTAAAATTCAATTTATGCTGAATTAAGTAAATAGTTCTTCACACAATATGAACGATTAAATTTCTTATGGATTCGACAGGAGGCCTAATATTTTGTATGTTTAAAAATACTTTTCATTGAAATGGTGACCATACAAAGTAGGTATTTTAAGCCAATTATGAATGGAAATTAGTGTAAGATGAGTGGTACGATCTTGTAGTCTTGTTAGTGACTAAGGCCGACGTATTCCTTAGACACAGCTGTTAATTAATAGCCAGACAGCTAATGGCAGGGACCTACAGTTTATAGTGGGATCTGAACCACATTTTTGTCTTGGTTTATTTCTTTATTTATTGAACACCAACGGCAAACACTATTTCACATTAAGTAGCTATACAGATAGAAAAATATTATCTATATAATTAATACGCTACATGAAACTTTGTCGGTTGAACTCCTCCGCCATTTCTTAACCGATTTTATCCATTGACGTCTCATTGGAAAGAGCGTGTTGCGTAGATTTGCAAACTGGCCTTACATTTTTGAAAAAGTCCCTTGGGCTCTGCCCCAGTGGCTTTGAAAGTTCCCATGTTATCCTTATGGAGAACTTAATTGTTTACATTTTGATCAGCTGTATAATTTAATTGCTGTTATTTATTTTTCAATTCGAAACGCATTGAGTACATTATTTACTATTTGAGTTTGTGTAAACATAACCCCCAAGACGGATGGTGTTAGTATGGTTCATCGATCTCTAATAATAGAAATCGATAGTATGGTTGTATCTTAAATTTGTGTATTTATCGTTGTTTTGTGTCGCTATGACGGATCGTGTTAGCATGATTGTAACTTAAATTTGTGCATTTAGCGTTGTTTTGTGTAGCTATAATTTGTTTATTTGTTGTTTCTTTCTTTTAAATGCCTCCGACGCGACGACAACGCGAAACATAGACAGGAGGCGTAATCTTAGCGACCGCAGCTACAGAACAGTGGCGCGTAATAGGCTTTAACTCATCACAGTCAGCACCTGACCATGGACAATCTCAACTATTAGGTTACAAATGTGCCTAACACTTACTACTCCAAAACGACTTTTCGTTCTCAATTGGCCCTCTATCAATGACATGTGTTGCCTGTACAGCGAGGCGGAGAAAACCGGCCGGAATGCTTTAGGTTTATCAATAACGAAGATAAACATGGTCTGAGTTACACACCGGTAATTTTTGAGTTGACTCTTTTAAACTCATTGTAAATATGACTGTTATTCGTTTTGAAATAACTCCTGTAATACTTTGCAACTGCTCGAATTCGAGCAACATGTACACTAGTAAAAATTTAATAATTAACAGAGGAGTAGAAAACAATATTTAAAACTAATTATTACATGGCAAAACAATGGATATTGATGTTACAGAAAAATATAACAATGTATAAAAAATATAACAATAACAAAATATAACAATGAATATATCAATAACAAGAATACAAACAAAATAGATCACAAAATTAACATGAAAAAAATCAACAACAAAGGTATATACGAATTGGTCTAATTATCAGGATAGTACTGCGGATAGTCGTAGTACTCACTAGTGCGGACGTTAATCCACACCAGAGAGTATTGCATCCATAGTGCATGCCTATGAAATATCCACAATTCGTGACATCTAAGTAGCTGGATTACAGGACGACGCCACCGTCCCAGATTGGTGGGACTCCAACCTATGAGGAGGACTCTTATCTGCTGGGTCAAGGCATTATTCCTAGAGATTTGTGGGATTTGAACTCGGGGCGTCGGAACAGAACCCCTCCAACTACTAGGACAACCGCGCCTCTTTATCGAAATTTATTCAAAACACATTCTATACCACTACTGTCTTATTTTATGAAAGATAGTGATTAACTTTCAGACATTTAAAAAACGTATATTTAAACTAAAACCACTTTTTACAGGTTCCAGGCTACAATGGAAATAATCATGGTGTCCAGATATCAGCTTTGCTAAGGTAAGACCTATTTTATGTTTATTTATAGAATGACATATATATTATGTATAGTGTGCATGTAACTTTTGAGTCAAAATCATGTACTGTAGTGCAAACACAGTTGGTAATTTCAATATTAAGATGACTGAATCATAATGTCGTGTCGTGTACGTTGTCGTATCAATTGTGCCAAAGCTGATTTATTTACAAGATACGTTATGTTAATCTTATACATAAAATAGATGCAGTACATAATTTAATGTTTATGTTGGTTGATTTTGTAAGGAAATAAATTAACAATAAAGACGATATATATTTTGTATTGTTCTGTTGTTAAACTATTGTATGACTATTAAGCTCAAAAGAATCTTTCTTTTTCTTTTACTCAAATACAATAAAAACGCAAACACTCAAATGCAACAAAAGGGCAATAAAAAATATCGGGTTTTTATAAGCTCTTGGTTTGCTAACTCATTTATGGCTTCGTCTGTTGACGAAACACTCTTTTTAAATAAGTGAAGATTTAAAAAGAAAACTAATGGTCTGTCTATTGAATTGTAGCATATGAACGACAACTTGATAACCCTTGGCCTCGATACCAGATGTAGCTTTTAGGTCCGAAGACCGAGTGAACATTTTAGCACTGCATAGAATGTATTAAAAATTGCCATTTTATGAGTAGTAAGACGAAGAAGAGACTTTAAATATACAGGACGACAGTTAAGTCCTATATATCAGTATACCTTACTAGAGTAAAAATATTGGAGGAGCGAGAGGTCTAGTGGTAGAGCTCGGGGCTTCGAATCCCGAAGTCCCAGGCTCAAACCACAACAATTACCATTGGATTTTATTGGAGTGATAAAGCCGCCACCCTCTATGACTAGCCTAAAGTAACGTGTAAACCGAACCTTGCGTCCTATGATGTGAAAGTAGTAAAAATAAGAAGCCTCGAGTAAAAAGATTGGATAGTATACAGTTTTAACTTTTAAAGTAAATCAGATTATTAAAGTAACTAGTAGTACGCTTATTCTGCGCGTAACGGGATGAGTGAACATGAGCGCAGTAACGAAAGAGTCCACCCACACCTAGCCTACTTACCGGTGTCACTGGTGAACACAATGTTATTTGTATGGGCAAATCAACCAAATCTTAGACAACAACAATCCTAACTTTTCATCTATTAACTAACCAAAGTCAGTGGTAATATACGTAATGGATTTCCAACAGTTATCGATAGGAGGTAAGTCCATCGTACCTGTACAACATGTCTTTTGATTAAATCAAGCCTATTTCCATATTTGTTATGAGGCCTATCATAAACAAAACTAAGCCAAACTGAACTAATCTAATTTAACCTAATTGCCAAAGCACGATGTAAGGAATCTCCTAAAAAATGTCGTATGGCTTACAATGATAATTTAAAACGATATCGTAATTATATCATCTAAAAATGATTAAAAATCCAATATCTAGCTAATGAAGGGTTCCCACACTCCAGACTGCTCGCCTCAACTACTTCCACCACCTCTTCTTACGTCGTAAACATGTTTCCCTCCCTTCCTATGGCGTTTTAGTATTGCAGGTACATTAACCTAACTGTCACAACGGGGTTCCACCCTCCGGACTGCTCGCCTTGACTACTTCCATCACCACTTCCTACGCCATAAACATGTTTCCCTCCCTTCCTTTAGCATTTTTTAAATTGCAGATCCATTATTCTAACTGTCACAACGGGTTCCCACACTCTGGACTGCTCGCCTTGACTACTTCCTTCACCACTTCCTACGTCGTGGACCTGTTTCCCTCCCTTCCTTTAGCACTTTTTTATTACAGATCCATTAATCTAACTGTCACAACGGGTTCCCACACTCCGGACTGCTCGCCTTGACTTCTTCCTTCACCACTTCCTACGTCGTGGACCTGTTTCCCTCCCTTCCTTTAGCATTTTATTATTACAGATCCATTAATCTAACTGTCACAACGGGTTCCCACACTCTGGGCTGTTCGCCTTGACTACTTCCTTCACCACTTCCTACGTCGTGGACCTGTTTCCCTCCCTTCCTTTAGAATTTTATTATTGCAAATCCATTAAACTAACTGTCACAAAGGGTTCCCACGCTCTGGAATGGTCGCCTCGACTACTTCCTTCACCACTTCCTACGTCGTGGACCTGTTTCCCTCCCTTCCTTTAGCATTTTATTATTGCAGAGACATTAATCTAACTGTCACAATGGGTTGCCACACTCTGGACTGCTCGCCCAGACTACTTCCTTCACCACTTCCTACGTCGTAGACCTGTTTCCCTCCCTTCCTTTAGTATTTTTTTTTTATTACAGATCCATTAATCTAACTGTCACAACGGGTTCCCACACTCCGGACCGCACGCCTTGACTACTTCCTTCACCACTTCCTACGTCGTGGACCTGTTTCCCTCCCTTCCTTTAGCATTTTATTATTGCAGATCCATTATTTTAATGGTCACAAAGGGTTCCCACGCTCAGGAATGGTCGCCTCAACTACTTCCTTCACCACTTCCTACGTCGTGGACCTGTTTCCCTCCCTTCCTTTAGCATTTTATTATTGCAGATACATTAATCTAACTGTCACAATGGGTTCCCAAACTCTGGACTGCTCACCTTGACTACTTCCTTCACCACTTCCCACGTCGTGGACCTGTTTCCCTCCCTTCCTTTAGCATTTTATTATTGCAGATCCATTAATCTAACTGTCACAAAGGGTTCCCACGCTCCGGAATGGTCGCCTCGACTGCTTCCTTCACCATTCCTACGTCCTGGAGCTGTTTCCCTCCCTTCCTTTAGCATTTTATTATTACAGATCCATTAATCTAACTGTCACAAAGGGTTCCCACACTCTAGGCTGCTGGCCTTGACTACTTCCTTCATTACTTCCTACGTCGTGGACCTGTTTCCCTCCCTTCCTTTAGTATTTTTTTATTACAGATCCATTAATCTAACTGTCACAACGGGTTCCCACACTCCAAACTGCTCGCCTTGACTACTTCCTTCACCACTTCCTACGTCGTGGACCTGTTTCCCTCCCTTCCTTTAGCATTTTATTATTGCAGATCCATTAATCTAACTGTCACAAAGGGTTCCCACGCTCTGGAATGGTCGCCTCGACTACTTCCTTCACCACTTCCTACGTCGTGAACCTGTTTCCCTCCCTTTCTTTAGCATTTTATCATTGCAAATACATTAATCTAACTGTCACAATGGGTTCCCACACTCTGGACTGCTCGCCTTGACTACTTCCTTCACCACTTCCTACGTCATGGACCTGTTTCCCTCCCTTCCTTTAGCACTTTTTTATTACAGATCCATTAATCTAACTGCCACAACGGGGTTCCACCCTCCGGACTGCTCGCCTTGACTACTTCCTTCACCACTTCCCACGTCGTGGACCTGTATCCCTCCCTTCCTATAGCATTTTATTATTGCAGATACATTAATCTAACTGTCACAAAGTGTTACCACACTCCGGACTGCTCGCCTTGACTGCTTCCTTCATCACTTCCTACGTCGTGGACCGGTTTTCCTCCCTTCCTTTAGCATTTTATTATCGCAGATACATTAATCTAACTGTCACAATGGGTTCCTACACTCTGGACTGCTCGCCTTGACTACTTCCTTCACCACTTCCCACGTCGTGGACCTGTTTCCCTCCCTTCCTTTAGCATTTTATTATTACAGATCCATTAATCTAACTGTCACAACGGGTTCCCACACTCTGGGCTGCTCGCCTTGACTACTTCCTTCACCACTTCCTACGTCGTGGACCTGTTTCCCTCCCTTCCTTTAGCATTTTTTAATTACATATCCATTAATCTAACTGTCACAACGGGTTCCCACACTCCGGACTGCTCGCCTTGACTACTTCCTTCACCACTTCCTACGTCGTGGACCTGTATCCCTCCCTTCCTTTAGCATTTTATTATTGCAGATCCATTAATCTAACTGTCACAAAGGGTTCCCACGCTCCGGAATGGTCGCCTCGACTACTTCCTTCACCCCTTCCTACGTCGTGGACCTGTTTCCCTCCCTTCCTTTAGCATTTTTTTTATTACAGATCCATTAATCTAACTGTCACAACGGGTTCCCACACTCCGGACTGCTCGCCTTGACTACTTCCTTCACCACTTCCTACGTCGTGGACCTGTTTCCCTCCCTTCCTTTAGCATTTTATTATTGCAGATCCATTAATCTATCTGTCACAAAGGCTTTCCACACTCCGAAGCGTTTGCCTTGACTACTTCCTTCACTACTACTTCCTATATCGTAGACCTGTTTCCCTCTCTTTCCATAGCATTTAAGTATTACAGATATATTAATTTAATAGTCACAAAGTATTTCCACACTCCGCATTGCTCACCTTTCCGCTTACTTTACCACTCTCTACGTCGTGGACCCATCGAAGTATATAACATACTTCGATGCGTGGACCTGCCCCCCCCCCCTTCGCATAGCATTTTAAAACTACTAACATCTTTGAATATTTAATATTCAAGGCCAACATTAAATTGAATAATATAAAAAGCTGCTTTGTTCTAAATATATACATATATATTTTTAGTTAAAAGGTGAATTTTAATACTGAACATAAATGGTATATAACTGCCGATTAATATTGTAAAGTGTAATTTATTATTCAGAAAGTTGTGAAATTTAATTAACTTAAACAACATTATTCTGAAACCTGTGAAATTATAATGATATATATTCATAGACGCCAAACTGTTTACTCCATGAATGAAAGAGCTTAGAGTAAAAGTCGTTCTCTCTGTCTTAAGTAGACAACAAAATTGTTGGTTGCAAAACGTAAACAAATAAAAAGAAGAAGAAGGTAGCTCCTAATGTTATTCTTATGGGACAAATTTAAAAATGTTTTTTGAGGGTTTTATAATTACTACTGATCGGAATCGTCTAGAATTTTAATGAGGTCTTCCCACTGGTGTCATAATTATTTGTGCAAAATTTAAACGCTATAAGTGCGACGGTTCTTGA